CATGAAGACTCATGGGCCCAGAAGACTCCTGCAACTCCTCATGGTGTGTGCCATTTAGATTAGGCATCCTTCAGTCTTGAGAGACTATGGTCACGTGCTCTGAATGGAGAACTTGGAACAGCGTCTAGTGTGGCTGAGGAGGCCAATTCCAGAGTGACCATCCCTTCCACAAATACAATCTGTCCCCTGTCCAGCTCCCTGATTTTGCTGCTTTCGGGATAGCCTCTTGGCCTTGGCCTCTTCAAATTGGGAGAGGCCATGATGCACTGCCTGCCTCCAGGCCCAACGCTCAGAGGTCAAGGTTTCCCATCTGTTGAGAAAATCCATTCATAAGGCCTTCAAATCCCGCTGGCAGATATCCTTGTATCGCAGCTGGGATCTCCCTCTGGGGCGAATTCCCTGCAACCACACAGGAGATCTTTTGGAATCTGACCATCAGCCATTCCCAAGACATGCCCGAGCCAACGTAGATGTTGCTGTTTCAGTAATGTGTAGCTGTTACAGTAATGTATACGTGTGCCATTAAGGTCTCCTGATATGTGGATGAGGTTAAGCTTGGCATCCTGGCTGAACACTACCTCAGCAAAGGAAGCCCCTTGTGGTCGATGCGTATGGGTGGGGCATTCTTTCCATACAGGGATGACGATCCCTACCCTTCACAGGTCTGAAATGTTTATAGCAGACTAATATAAGATGAGATTCAAAAGAGCCTCCCCTGGCCATATCCTGTGATGGTGCTTGATGCTCAGGGCCTGCTCCGTCCCTTCATAGATTCAACACGTTGTTACAGACAACATCCATTGTCCTTGAAAGTCGCTTTGCAGGCTACTCACCTAAATCGGAGCCTGCAGACCAGTGGTTCCCAAACTTTTTCAAGTTGCAACCCCCTTTTTATGATAGCCAAGTTACCCGTGACCCCTGCCCCCAGCATGTTTGCATAAAAAGCCATTTCTAATGGGGTCATATCATTCCCCTTCTCAGAAAGTAGAGGCTTCTTTCTCCCCCTATATATGTTTCTCATACATGCACATACATTATCTTTATATGCAGACAGGGGCCTCTTCACATGCTCAGGAACCTGGTCTTTGCTGGGCTTCAGACCAGGGAGATATATAGGAGCAAGATCCGAGGTCTAAACCAGGGGAGTGTAACTCAGGGGTGAAAGCCGTCCTTCTGTGGTCATGGACTGTAAATGCCCATGAAATGGAGTCCATGGCAGGTCTGCGTGCATGTTGCATTACTTCTTCCACATGCTTGGCCTTGTCTGGTATTGCGTGGTTTAATGACCATCTCCCAAGGTCTGTTTTGCCGTAAGATCCCTTTTCAATGCTTGGGTTTTTGCATAGATCACGGATTGGCACAAGGACGGAGCCCTTCTGTGTTTCCTTACCCTGTGAGGCCCTGGACCGTGCTGAGTAGTCCTCCTTCCCCAAGGATGCCAAGGATGCCTCCTCCTCCAAGTAGACCTCCATTGCCCAGCAAGCCTCCATTGCCAAGGAGACCGCCACCGCCACCAAGAATTCCTGCAACGCCAAGCAAACCTCCATCACCCAGCAGACCTCCTGGACCCAACAAACCTCCAGCACCGGGGCCGCCACCACGGCCGCCACCGCCACCAGCACCTGGAGGGGAAGAGCCAGCCTTCCCCACACCGTAAGCGCCACCAGCACCACCTCTTCGGTCTCCTCCTCCACCCAGCAGACCTCCTGTGGCTCCCCCAAGAAGCCCTCCACCGCTGAGCAAGCCTCCTGTCAACCCGCCGAGAAGTCCTCCACCGCCTCCCCCAAGTAAGCCACCAGTAACACCTCCCAGGACGCCTCCACTGCCACCGCCACCACCGCCAAGGAGGCCTCCGAGAAGACCACCATCACCACCACCTCCGTTGCCAAGGGGAAGTTCTCTCATGGCGCCTTGGAGGGCATTGCTCTGGGCCATCGAACTGGCGACAGCTGCAAAAAGAAATCAGAAGAAAGGCACATCTATTGAGCATAGAGAGAAGGTGCTTTTCCTGGTGAGTCTCTGGCAGAACTCTTCTGTAAACGGCCTGCCAGCTCACAGGCTGGCTGCTTTGGCCCAAAAATGCAAACTCAATATTGGGAGAGACACGGGAATGCTGCCAATGCTTTGGCTCTCTTTCTGGTGTTCCTCACAACCTCGGCTTTAAGAAGACAAGTGCCCTAAACAAGCAGATACAAAATTATTCTGCACTGCCCTATCAGACGGAAGGTCATAGGAGCCTCCAGGTGAGACGGCAGGACATGCTAGCGTGAAGCCAGGACAGAGGAAGTGATACGAACAGTGACCTTGGGCAAATGCATTCCCAGGTTAAAAGAGAGATTGCTAATCAGATATAGATAAAGACCTTCTGCTCGGGCCACCCTCCTGCCCAGGACAGAGAAATGAAGAGCATCTTTCAATTCTTGAGGTCAAAATAGGCCAGGCTACTCTTGTCCACTTCACTACTGGCCAAGGGTCACCGACTAATTTTGGAATCTGAGACAGACTGTCCCATAAGTCCCTCTCCTAAGGAGTGAACAGAAACAGCCAATGGTCTCCATTCCATGATACCTGAAGTTAGGCCACGGGGACAGCTGCCTCATGGCAGGGCCAGCCCTGCCTTCCTCCAAGGCAGACCCTCAATTGTCTAGTCTAGTGCTATGTACGCAGAAAAACAGCTGCAGTCCAAGGCCTGCCCCTTTTCTACAAAAAACAGAGGCACACTCTCAACTGAGCTGTTCCAGAGCCAGAGTGTCAACAGCAGTAGGGTGAGCATACTCTGAAGAACCTATGCAAGATATTAATTGGCTGGATAGCCCAGCAAGAAGGAGTAGGGGCTAGGCCAGCTTCCCCACCCTCCAAATCTTTGCATGCTTCGACTCACCATTGTGCAAAACATCCTTTTTGACTCTGACCACAGCATCTGTTGGTTGGAGGACCTGGCTCTGTGACGGGGGCAGCAAAACACTGAAGAACAGGATGCACCACACTGCTAACATCTTGGTCGGATCCACACCTGCCGAGATGAGACCCACGTCTTACCAGCAGAAGACTTTGTCCAGGAAACAGGAAAGTGGGGGAGGAAAGAAGGGAGGGAGGCCAGAGTCAAAGACGTCACAAAAAGGATTGGTAATGAAAGAAAAGAAAATCGTGATCCAGAGCGCTCTGAGAAAGGTGCTGAGCTGGGCCTGTTTTACCTGAGTGTTCCCAGCTGGGACCAAAGGGAAACAGTGATGTTTGGCCTTATCTCTGTTGATCAGTAAGAGCGCTTGGAGGCCTCCATAGCCTCCTGGCTCCCAACTTCTTCTGGCCCTGGAAACGCACAGGTGGCAACCGATAGCCTCCTGGCTCCCAACTTCTTCTGGCTCAAGTGGCAACCACCATTTATATCAGTGGCAAACGGTGGGAGGACCAGAACACAGCGCCAGAGACACTGAGATAATGGGCTTAAGAGCTGTCAGGGTAGGGTGGTTTTTAAGTAGGAGGCTTCCCGTATTTCTGATAAGCAATTATTTGTCAACCTGGTGTTAAGGGAGAGGCATCAAATGTACTTTGGTTTGCAGAAAGCTGATATGTCCTTCTTTGCTCTTAGCAGGAAGGATGGGGCAAGGGGGGAAAACCTCCCACCCAGTAAATATCCTTTTCAGAAGGCTCCGGTCCAGCCACCTCTTCCTGCTAGGAACAACACCTTCGAGGAGGTGCCAAGAGACCGCTGGTGATGGGGATGAGGAACTTTGTGCCAAAACCCGGAGTCTTCACCATCTTGATGTTCAGGGCTGAGCTGCCATATCGCTCCTCGCCAACAGTGCCTGGAAGTCCACAAGGTGATGCAGAGGATTGGCCACTTTCCCAAGAGCAAGAAGAAAACTTGGGGGGGGGGAAACGTGCCCGCCATGCCTTCTGGCCTTTTGATGCACTTCATGTCAAATAAGTGGATGTAGCGCTTAATGGATCATGAAGGATGATTACTGGTTGCCTGCAACCTAGGTAAAGGTAAAGGTTCCCCTTGACAATTTTTGTCCAGTCGTGTCCGACTCTAGGGGGCGGTGCTCATCCCCGTTTCCAAGCCATAGAGCCAGCGTTTTGTCCGAAGACAATCTTCCGTGGTCACATGGCCAGTGCGACTTAGACACGGAACGCTGTTACCTTCCCACCGAGGTGGTCCCTATCTATCTACTTGCATTTGTATGCTTTCAAACCGCTAGATTGGCGGGAGCTGGGGCAAGCGACGGGAGCTCACTCCATCACGTGGATTCGATCTTACGACTGGTGGTCTTCTGACCCTGCAGCACAGGCTTCTGCGGTTTAGCCCGCAGCACCACCACGTCCCTTAAACCTACAGCCATTGAAAAAGTCTATCATTCAGCTGGCTTTGCCCCTCCAGATGTATGTTGAGAAGTTCTAGCAAATAATGAATGAAATAAGGTAACATAGCACCAAACCCATCCAAACCTTTAGACGATGACTCAAATCAAGCTTTCTGCAAACATCTCAGCCTCTAAATATGGAACCAGGAAAGGCTAGGTTGAACCTATGGAGAGCAAAAAAACAACACATTTCACTGTACGGAAGAACGCTGAAGAGTGACTCCCACCGGGAAAAGACTCCATCTGGAGCAGCTGGAATTCACTCAATAGACTTCCAAGTGAAGTAGGCAGATCAAGGAAGAACCCAGTAAAATGGGGCTACTTGAATACAGGACAAATTTTCTGTGACTGTGGAGAAATTCGATCAGTCTAGCACTTAGGTGCATGCCATTTATGCCTCACCACATGGACAAAAGAAAATCTAGCCCATGGCCAAGTTAAAGTAGAGTAGCTTGTTTCAGGTCAAAAAATAGTCTAATTATCTTAACACTTTAATTTGTTCTTAATTTACCCTATATTTCCTATACGTCTTTAATTTTAAATTGTGCAATGCTCTGATATGAGTAAAGATGTCGTTAATTTTAAATTGTGCAACGCTCTGATATGAGTAAAGATGTCGCAAAGAAATGTTCAAGAGCCATGGATACTAAATCCTCCAGATTAAAATCCTTGCAAATCTCAAGGCTCCAGATTAAAATCCTTGCAAATCTCAAGTCTTTATTTATGTGATATTTACCACTCGATCAGAAAGACCAGTGCTGTAGATGTGATAAACACACGGCGAGAAACCTGTCTCTGAGAAGAACTAGGGCAGCATATGTTCATAAAAGTGGTTAATGAAGTGGGCAGGGGATCTTCATCTGTTATTCAAAACCACCAGGCACAGTCAAAATTATAAAAAAACATTGACTGTTATTATATAACAGACACAAGTTTTAACCAAAAATCTAAGTATCAGTTAAATATCAGAGCAGTATGTATCCTGTTTCTAATATTGCCATTTTTATTTTTTTATTTTTATAACTCTAATAGTGTTACCAACATGACTTTGACCCAACTCTGGGAGGCAGTGAAAGACAGGAGGGCCTGGCGTGCTCTGGTCCATGGGGTCACGAAGAGTCGGGCACGATTTAACGACAAAACAACAACAAGGGTCACGAAGAGTCGGGCACGACTGAATGTCTAAACAACAACAATATACAGTAGTGTTATTTCTGAGATCTGCAACTGCTTATAGTACTGTGTGAAGTTTCTTTATATTGTTCCCAAAATCCAATGGCTACGGGGACCATGAAGTTTCTTGATATTGTTCCCAAAACCCATGGCTACGGGGACCACGGAAGTGTGTTTCTTCCCGAGGCGAGATGTTTCAATGGCCAGGTCTCTGTACTTCGTTAGTTTTTCTAGTTCTTTATTTTCAACTCTGGCATCCCCTGGAATTGCGACGTCAATGATCCGCGTTAGTTTTTACAGTTCTTTATTTTCAACCCAGGCATTCCTCCGTTCTATGACTACCATGTCTGGTGCATTATGTTCAAAGCGTCTGTCTGCTTAGATCTAGAAATCCCACAAGATCTTGACTTCCTCATTTTCTGACGCCTTCTCTACCTGATGTTCCCATGGGTTTTTGGAGGCTGGCAAGTTGCTTTTTTTTTTTTTTGCATCAGTGAAGTTCACTAATTTTTCCATTCTGTCATGTCTAACATAGTAATCTGTGCAATCTTTGGACATTTTTTAAATTATTATTGCTGTTGTTCTTGTTCTTGTTGTTGCAAGCAACAGCCCAATAGCAGAACACTCACCTTTTGCAGGTTAAGTTATTGTCTGTTTGACTGCACTGAGTGTATTTAACACTTTGCATCCCCAGTTCAGAGCTAACAAGGTTTCAGGTGACTTGTATAACTACTTTTTCCTATATAACTACTTTTTCTTTGTTAGAGAGTTCTCCTCCCCCTAATTATTACAACTGCATCTCTGTGCATTTAATACAATTAATTCCGTATCTCCTCATTCCTAACATTATAAACTGATCAAATGGCAGAATATAATCTTTCATATTTTACATTTCTTCCAGAACAGAAATACAAGGCGAGACCAAAATGTGTGCTCAATAGCTTGTAGATGAAACCCCGAACCTCCAGAAATTATTAATAATGCAACCTAGTTCCATCAATGCTCTAACTTATAAAAAGTATTTTTTCCCTTTCAGTTCTGACTGAAAGTTTATATTTCCAGGTCTTTTTCTAATTTCCCATTAGTCTGATAGATGTTGTTGTGCTTACCGTTGGAACTTTCCCAAAAACATCATCTCGAATTCTGTATAATCTCTCCAGGAACCAGATTTTCTAAGCAAGCCAAGAGTCCTATGTTGTGTCGAAATGAAGGTGTTTGTCTTGAATTTGCTGCTGAAGCTGTGAATAACCTTTCACGACTCCATGCTTCAGCATTTCTTTGAACACTGTTGATCCTCCTTTTCCCCGAGCTTGGTATTGCCTATTTTTTTCCTCAATGAATAAATAAAGCTGGAAGGGGGCCCTATGGGTCACTGTGTCCAATCCTTGCCAAGGAGGCCCAGTGGGGGAATCAAACTCCCATCCTCTGGCTCAGCAGCCAGAGACCTAACCCCCTGAGTTATGGTTTGCCTTTCTTACCATTCCTGGCCACTTTTCGACTTGGGGTTGGTTTCTAGTTTAGGGAACAAATGCGCAGTCTTCGACATGTTTCTAAAGTGGCTCAAATCTTGCCCTACGCTGGGTTCTGCCAGTCCCATCTTGTATATGGGTTACAAAACCCATTACTCCCCACTTTCACATGCTATGTAGTTCTTTTACACATCCGACAGCATGATCAGATCTGCAACTCATCTTTCTGCAATCTTGTTGTGGCCACACACGTGCCATAAAAAAAAGACAAATTGAGCTCCTTCCTCCATCTGCTCTCTTTTTGACAAGCATGAACTGGGAAATATTGCAGTTATGGTCTTTGGCTAGGCAGACACCATCTTTTAAGATGTTTAGAAATGTGCATGGTTTACTAGCTAATGATTTACACCCAGTAGTCATGGATAGCTGATGGCTACAAAAAACTAGTGTGCCAGCTGCTCATGTCCTGGAGAGGTCTGGCCACAGTGATGCATGCCTTAGTTACATCCCGCTTGGATTACTGTAACACGCTCCATGTGAGGCTGCCTCTTGATGAAATTACCCGGAAACCACATCCCGCTTGGATTACTGTAACACCCTCCATGTGAGGCTGCCTCTGGAAATTACCTGGAAACTTCAGCAGATCCCAAATGCAGCAGACAGATTGTTTACTGGGGCTGGTTACAGGGAAAATATAAGTTCACTGTTAGAACAATTCCACTGGCTGTCGGTTCATTTCTGGGCACAATTCAAAGTGCTAGTTCTAACCGATGAAGCCCAAATGGCTTCAGTCCAAGCTATCTCAAAGACTGTATCTCCCATTATGAACCTGCTCGGGTGTTAAGATCCTCAGGGGACGCCTTTCTCTCAGTCCTGCCACCTTCACAGGTGTGTCTGATGAGGACACAAGAGAAGACCTTCTAGGTTGCTGCTCCCAGACTCTGGAACCCATTGCCACTGGAGGCCAAGCTGGTCCCGTCTTTGCTGTCCTTCCACTAACTTTTTCCTGAGTGATTGCCTGCCTGAGTGTTTTTTTTTTTTAATGGATGGTTGTGCCTTCCTGCTTGGAATGTATGTTTGGTGTTGCTTTTATATTTCCCCGAGTGATTGCCTGCCTGAGTGGGTTTTTTTAATGGACGGTTGTGCCTTCCTGCTTGGAATGTGTTTTTGGTGTTGCTGTCGTTTACTGTTTTTCAGTGCGGTATTTCCTTGTTCTCTTTAGCGATTTTGTGGTTACTGTTTTAGCTTTAAATATTGTCTTTTAATGATGTCAGCTGTATTGGAGTCTTTTATTTTTGAAAGAGAAAGGTTAGGTTAAAAATGTTTTAAATAAATAAACAGTTTGCAATGTGAAGGAGGCAAAAGATTAGGGCAAAAGATTAGGGTTTTGCCAGAGGATGTGCCAAAAATAAAAAGCCATTCCTTTAACGGGGGATAATTAGTGGTGTCTTAGAAGGCAAACATTGCTTGTTTCCTGCAAAGGAATTTCCCCCTGTCACACACACCTGTGAGGTATCTGAGAGACTCACCTCAGAAGATGCCTCATGCTTTAAAAGCACTCGTGTCTGTGAAATGTTTAGGCCCTCAAAGAAGGTCTGGGAGAGGTTTGAGGGATATGAACATTCTCTGAGAAAGGAAGATGGCAGGACTATGAAAATTAAGTCATGTGGAAAGGCATCAAAATAAGCCTCTAGACTGTGGACCAAATCAAGGGTTTTCCCAGACTGCGTTGTTCACATGGGGTACCTGTGAAGTGTTAGCTTTCAGACATTTTGTTCATTTACACCTGTGCAGCTTTTCCTCAGATTATGCTGAGTTCTCTGGCGTCCATCACGATACAGCCGATGGATGCCCCATCTTGGCAGTTTTGGGCGCCCGTCGGGGCCAAGCCTTTTCTCCAAGAGCTGCAAATGTCATCAACAGACTGAACTCGCCAGCCAAGATCAATTGTACTTTTGTTCTGGTTAGCGGAACACTTAATACCTCGCTGAGCTTATAATCCATGGTTAGTTGCCGGGCGGGTTGTGCAACAAGGGGAATTACCTGCCCCGCTCCCAATCAAAAGCAATTTCAAAGCCCATTAGATCGTTTTCTCCAGATAAGAAGAGGGAAATTGAATAATCGCTTCTTGTAGAACATCCCCAGGCAGCATGCTTACAAAGGCTGCTGAGCGTTGACTTTAATTCCAAGAGCGGATGAATTAAAACTTGGGGGAAGGAAAAGAGAGCGTTTGAGACCGTATCATTTAATTGTTAGATCATTTTCTTTTTCACCTGTTGACTGGGCAATTTGGAGAGTAAGACACCAGCAAGGTCCTTGAACAATCATCTCTTTTTCTCCAAACAATTGACTTGGTGTTTGTGTGTGTATGTGTCTTACCCATTGATTCGCATAAATTTGCCTATGCTAAACGTATATGTGCCGAAGCAAAACTTGAAATGATTTTTACAATTGCAACAGAACTACAGTCATCTGTCTCAAATGGGGAGGATGATGAGCAGTTGTTGACCTCTGTGTGCCTGATGCTGAGTCGGCTCTTGAGACACTCCTCATGCTGGATGATGGTCAACTTCAGGGTCCCTCATCTCCCTCCTTTTTATGGTTCTTGATCTTTCCAGAAGACTAGGACAATCTTTCTGACAGAGAACAGGTCCCCCCCCCTCCAAAAAAGGACTGGTCTTTGTTAGCCCTTCATATAAGGACTATGAAAACAGAACGTGTGTGCGCTCTCTGGTGCCACTGCTACAGGAGTGGAATTGTGCTTTGGAAGAGGCTGTATATTTCAAATTGGTGCTCTACAGGAGAACTTGAGCCTCCATGCTAGCTGTTTTGTGAGGGACTGAGTTCCAAAGGAGACTTGGGATCTGTCCATCTATAATTTCCAATGCTTCTGAGGAAGTAAATGGGATTCCAGGCCATTGGTAAGGAAGCTTCCTCCCTCGTCAATACCAATGCAGCCTCATGTTGCTGTATTTCAGAAAGTATGTAAATGGAAGCTTTCTCTCCAGGCTGCGGTCCAAGACTCCCTCCATCACCATCCCATGGTTTAAGCCTTTTTTGGAATTACTAGTATGACTATTCAAACAGGAGACTGCACTCTGGGATGTTATGTCTAGTGTGTAATGCCTTGGGTGTAAATCTCATTAGTAAATTACTGCACGTAATTATAGAAGACTGAGTGGAGAGAGGATAGCTCTTTTCAAAGACTTGAAAGGTAGCCCTACAGAGGAGAGACAAGATATGTTCTCAGTCATCCCAGAGTGCAGGAACTGTAACAATGGGCTTCAAGCTTCAGGTAGCCAGATTTAGGCTGAATTTCAGGAAAAACCTCTTAACTGTTAGAGCAGCACAACGATGGAACCCATGACCTCGGGGGGAGGTGGTGAGCACTCCAAAACTGGATGAATTCAAGAGAAATTTAGACCACTACCTGGCAGATCTCCTTTGACTTGGATTCCTGCATTGAACAGGGGGTTGGACACGATGGCCTTAGAGGCCCCTTACGACTCCATTATTCCATGATTCTATTTTTCTAAGTTAAAACATCGTCTAAACATTTGCTGTCATGTGCTATCCAACAGCAAGTGCCTAGAGCTGGGCACAAACGAAATATATATATATATATTGATTTGTGATTCGTCAAAGTTGACAAATCCTAAATTATGAATTTGTGATTTTTTTTTCCCAATTAAAAAGGCGGCAGGCCAATTTCCCCGCTAGCAGGTTCCAGAGATCTGGTCATCAAAGGATGCTCCTTTACAAATGTGTGATTAGCTGGTTGGTTTTTCTGTTAAATGGGATACCTTGTACACTCTTCCATCTCCTCCAAGTGCATTAAAGTAAAAGGAAAACACGCAGGCATTCTAGAACTGCAGGACAAGTTGGCCTCTTTTTATTGAGCAATCAAGCTGTTACATGTCAAGGAGAGCTCTCCAGCTTAAGGACAAGGAGAGGTTTTATAGAAACATATAACATCAACAACAAAAGATGGTGTGGATCAGATTGAAGTCGCTATGCATCTTAAATGGAAATGGATAGATAAGACAGGGTTTCTTCCAAGTCTTCTGACAGGATGCCACGGGGAACAGCAGGAAGAAATGTATTCTGTGCCACAAACTCATTTTGCAGCTACTGGAAGCAGGTCGACTGAAATTGCATTCTGTTAAAGTGACACAAGATCGAGACATAGTCAGATCTCTGTTCTGGAGTCTGTCTTGCTTTTCTAAAATCCTGTCCAGTTCCTGTCTCACTGAGGAGACCATACCGTCCCCACCTGCTTTAGATATTCCCAATGGGAAGCCCAGAGAGACACCGAATCAGTGCAATAGGCATACGTGTTCACCTGCGATTGGGCAGTTGATTTAGTGGGTCCTTTTGGGAACAGCAAGAGAACATTGCTGTCCAGATCCTGTTTGGCCACTTAAATCATTGATTTTTTGGAGGCCAAAAAAGAATTCTGAAATTTGAAGGCCCAATTCTAGAATGTTCTGAAAATCATAAATGTTCAATTTAGTTTCTTGAATTCGGAAAGCCCAAACCAATTTTTTTTGGCAAGCAGAAGGGTCGTTGTGAAGGAAATCCTGGCCAGTCCGCTGCTCAACGGGATGGCCTTGTGATTGGCTGGGTGCCATACGTGGTCAGCCTATCCAGAGTACACCTTTGGTTTAGATGGGCGGGATAGAAATCCAATCAATCAATCAATCAATCAATCAATCAATCAATCAATCAATCAATCAATCAATCAAATATTCTGGAGCCCAGAGGAAAAGGGGGCTGGAGGGCTGGCGTAATGAAAGAGAGAGAGGAGCCCGGAGGTTTGGAGGGAGAAAATAAAATAAAATAAAGAATTTAATATAAGGGTTATGATGAAAAGGAGAGGATATGGACTTGATGAAAAGTTAAAGCTAGGGAGAAAGATAAGGAACCTACTGAGGGTATGAATTATCTTAGTTGGTTGTTGTAGGTGAAGAGAAAACTCTGGCTCAAATTTGTTCCCAGGCGGATGTTCGGATGCAATTAAAAGCTGTCACTTTCACGCTTTAGCCATGGGTTCTGGTGTGGCATCAGACATGCTACTGGAAAGAGGCTTTGAAAGGTGACTGGCCTGGGCTGGGGTTGGTCACAGCACCATCTGCTCTTGCAATGTTCTCAGGTGGATGGAGACCCCCAGGTTGTGGGCCCTGTGCCACGGACCAGCTCCAGAAAGAGTCTGGGAAAACTTCCAGAAATGAAGAAATGACCTCTTACCCCAGCACTACCGACGGCACCACTGGCATAGTCCATGTTCCCGAAATGAGGGAGGGGGAGTATATTGCTCAGCATACCTGGAGCAGAATCAAGAAGAGAGGATGACTCTCATGATATGATGTGCGCCTAAATCCCACAGGAAGAATTTCAACACTCTGCGAAAGCAACTTAATGGTAGGAACAAGGCAGCCTTACCATTCAATGATGGGAGGTAATCGTTTGTGAGAAGGTTTAGGACAGAATCTTTGAGGAGATTCGCCTACAACAAAGAGAGCAGTTGCTTATAATTTTTCAACATTTATATCAACAATGTAGAATAATAAAGTCACGGAACAGGTAAGTTGGAAGGAGCCTCTAAGGCCATCAAGTCCAGCCCCCTGCTTAAGACAGGAATCCAAATCAAAGCAGATCAGATAGTGGTCCAGTTTTCTCTTGAATGCCTCCAGTGTCGGAGCGCTCACCACCTCCCCCTGAGGGTGTTGGCTCTATTGCCATACTCCTCTCACATTTAAGACTTTTTCCTGATATTCATAATCCACATATTACAATACTACTACTATACTACAATTACTACTGCTGCTGCTTCTACTAACAACAACATGTGCCAAATCAATTCTCTTTTATGGTGACCCTTTTCACAGTTTTCCAGGTAGGGACTACTCAGAAGTGGTTTCCCCTTCTTCCCTTCTTCTAGGGGCATTTCTGGGTGGCCTTGGGCCACTGCTTTGTAAATGGGTAGACCAGAACATAAAAGATTTTTGTTTTAATTCAGTGGTTGAAACATGTGCTTTTTTAATGCACATCATGGCTAGAGTGCAATTGTGGGTGAAACATGATTGTCAATCTGTTGTATCAATGGAATTTGCAAGAGTTTTGTCTTGGCCAATTCTCATTTATTCAACGAGGCTACTTTGAACCCAGGCTCACCACTGGGTTTAGAACTTAATGTTGGGCCTTTAAAATGTTTACTTACATCAATGTCGCCAATTTGAGAAGAAGAGACTCTGACGGAGAGCCTGTAAAAAAAAGAGAGATGAAACTGCAAGTGGAATTTTAGGCTAGGCATCTGACGAAAGTAAACAAGCTTTCGTGACCATTGGCAGTAAACAGCCCAAGCCATCAGAAACCCCTCTTTCGAAATCAGCAGTACATCTCTTGAAAAACTGCAGTGTACAGCAACAATATAAATTGATAGTTTTTTTAAAAAAAATGTGCAACTCTTATACTGTATTCTGATTCTTGTTTTGCATCTACCGTATAGGACCATACTGTGAGTGTCCCCACGTGGAACATCACATCACTTTGGTATTCTATTGTCTACATAATGCACCACTATGCAATTGGTTTACAACCATGTACACCTTCATCCGTGGACATTTGTGGGTGACTACGTGAGATGCCATAAGAAGTATGGAAGTCCATGGCTTCTTAAATAAGGACATTGATCCGTGGGAAGTAGCCGAGCACAGGTCTGACTGGAGTGAAGGGAAACGGTGCAAAAGAAAAAGCCACTTGGCCGTTGCCCAAAAGCCGTTGAGGAAATCCATAAATTCATTGTCTGCCCTTTGTTTTCATGGGGGCTGGGAGACACAGTTAGTTGAACATCGTGGAAGAGGGACCCACCTACCTCTCCAAAGAAAGGTTGACGCCCACAGTATCTCCTGTAACTTTTATGCGTCCCTTCAGGTCGATGTCCTAAAATCACAACAAAAATGTTTTGCATGAGATAGATTTTTTCCCTACCACCCTCTGGAACCTCTTTTGCTCTTGAGTCTTAGTGATTGTGTGAAGGGGTTCTTCTTTTTCACCGTGCATGTAGTCTTGCTTTCCTGTCCCTTTTTTCCCACTGTGCTCCTAGGAGTTTTCACATCCAGGAAGAAGAAACTGGGGGGGGGGGCTATCAGCTGGAGAGATTTGTGGACTGAGCAAGGTGGGGGCGTCAAACTTCTCCAAAAGGGCAGAGTCATTTGCCCCTTTTCTCACCCCAAGCTGTGAAAGGTCAGGAGACTTCTAGCAACACTCAACCCTATTTTAAATGGGCACAATTCAGCAAGACTTTTGCTCTCTGGCCAGTCCCCTTCCTTGGGACCAGAAAGGACGGAACTGTCTAGTTAGGGAATGGGTGCTAAGCTGGCTGGCTGACTTGGAGCCCCCCCTGGCTCGCTGTCTTTGCAATCAGCATCAGTGGTAAGTGCACTTCCTTCAGAGTGCAGCCAGCGTCTGTTTCTCAAGTCATGGGCAGAAGAGGAGGGGGGCTTCTGGATGGATAGCCCGACCACATGGCTATAGGAAGGGTTTGGATGTCCCTGCATTTGACACTTTCTGATGTTCTCTTTTCATATTACAGCTTGACTTTGCCTACGCAAATTCCCATACACCTCTCACCCAATAGATAGTGGCTGAAATCCCGTTGCTGAGTGCAGTACATTACACAAGAGGAGCCCCACTGAGCCAACTCTAGTGAGATTTACTGTGCTCGGATACTGACACCAAGGCATTTGGATAAGATGCTTGGCTTTGGTTTACTGAAGTTCTGTCGGTTGTGAAGGAGACTCTGTGTTGGTAATCAGGCGATAAGAAGTTGGAGATGAGAAAGGAAGAGCCAATAAATTAGAGAGGAGTCTCCCGCTTGTCTTTTACTGTTGGAGCCTGCCACCCGAGATTCCTCACCTCTTGGTCAATAGTCCGGAACTGGTCATCATCTGACTTACCGCATCCGCCGCAAAGAGGGGCACAAGACCACTGTCTGTTTGGGCTGACACAGTAACATCAACAGGAAGTTTTATGTTGATATCTGTATTCTCCACTGTCACTAGTGGAGTTTCGCCAGTGTTAATGGAGACCTTCAGAACCGAATTAGCTGGAAGAGTCCCCTGTAGGGAAAAAAAAAGGGAAAGGGCTTGAGATGCAAGGCAGGCAGTGCTGAAGATGCAGGAGGCACATTCTTGGAAAAGGACACGCCCGGCAGAAATACCTTACCTCAGGTAGCACGGACTGAAGCGCAGAGGCGGCCAGCGAAGAAGACCCCTGGAGTTGGAGGGAAGGAAAGCCAAAGTGAGCGCACGGATGTCTCTTCTATGCAATGAACACCTGGCCCAATCCCTGCAGCCCAATTGGGTGGCTTCCCTTGACACGCATCCTCTTGAGAGTCAACCAAGAAATGTTGCCTTAAAGGCCAGCTGTTCCCAATTGACAGGAGCACAACTGAGGCTGACATTAACCAGATCAACAATACTAGGCCGAGTTGGGATTTGAACCCCAGGCATTTCAGTATTGGTAAGAACATAGTAGCGAGAGCATAAAAAAGACCGATGAGGAGTCGGTCACAGGCCCACCTAGTCCACCATCAGATTCACACCGTCTGATTCACACAATAGCCAACCAATCAGCTGCCCCAGGTGATCCGCTGGCTGCTTTGTGAACAGGACTTTGGACTGGGCCTTAGAGCTGACCCAGCTTCCAGGCTCCTCTTGGGTTTTTACTGATGGCATACCAGAGAATTGGCTTAAAGGGAAGGGGTCTCTTAATTAACACTCCTGTGTTCCTCTGTCAACAATCCTTTTCCTAAATTCTTTTTTTCCCCCACTTAACGAGTGCACCGTACAACGATGAAATCGCATAGCGATCCCTTTTTTGGGATCGCTAATGCGA